TTTTTTTTTTTCTTAATAAAATTCCTAACATTACAATGGAACTTTTTAACAATACGTTAGTGTCGATTGTAAATAAGATCTATCAAATATGATCTATTCAATAGGATTATTTAAACCCAAGAAAAAAAGGTCAAATTGTGCGATAGCGTTGACGTAAGGGTTTAACTTTAAGAACAGAATAGTTCAGCATAGTTCGATCATGTTGCTTTAAATTGATCTCCGTGAAACTGACTCGAATGAAAAGATGGATTATATATATATGTATAAAATTCTACTACCATTCGTGATTCCATGCACGAATGATTTTCTATACACAATTATCTCCTTTTACAAATGTCCGATCTTTCTCACCTTCCCTCAATATTTTTCTCTCTTTCTTTCTTTCTCTTTCATTTCTTCTTTCTTTTTCTATTTTTCTTCACAAACAACAGAATCGGATTAACGAAGCATTTTACAAAATTAGATTAAAGTTTATTTCACGCTCGTTATATTGACCTTGAAGGGGGCGAGGGAGGAAAGAGTTCAAATGATACCGAATAAATTGCAATTAGACTAATGACATAAATTCTACTTCGTTAAAAATCTATCCATTCGTGTGTAATTAAATTAATCGATTGTGATCATTTCAAATACTAATATTTTTTCCAACCAATATATGTAATAAATAATATAATAAATATATGTATTTATGTATTTATATTATAAATATATAATATTTAATAATATATATAATTATATAATATTAATTATAATTAAATTATATTATATAATAGTATATAAATAATATATAAATTTATTATATAATATAATTATTCATATATAATATTATTATATTTATTAATGCAATTTAATTATATAATACAATTATATTTATTTAATAAATATAAATAATATATATTAATATATATTATATAATAATATATTATAAATATTAGAAAAAGTTTTTTTTCTATTTAAATTTTGAACTTTTATTCCCAAGATATCTATTTTAAATCAAAGAATTCGTGTCCAAACGTTTACAATTTTTCACGTACCAGAATATATTAAATGTTTTTGCAAAAAAGGTGCATTCCGCGATAAAGAAAAAGAAAAATAAAAGAAACAAAATATGCGCTTGGTTTGCATATAGCAACGCGATACTTTTACCCAAGGTCCATCATTGAATCTCATCTTTCATTTCGTTTCGTTTACTAAAAAAATAAACAATAAAATATTTGTCGGATGTGACCGATGAATTAAAAAACAAACAAAAAATGAATTCAACCAAATTTTTTTACCTTATCAAATATTACTCAACGTGAAAGCATATAATCTTATTGTAATTATTACTCTAAGAGTAATTTAAAAATCATTAGAAAATTCTTGGATAGTCTATAACCTTCGTTTCTAATGAAACGAAAATAACTCGATCAAGTATGTAATCAACGATTAGCAAACACAAGTTTACGCGTTTAGCATTGAATACTTAATCGTTTCTCGAGTGCAAAATCTAAACGCTTAATAGAAGATAATAATGCGTGATCGTATTCAAAGCTGCCACGATCACATTTGCACTTAAGATTATCATAAATTTACCGTGAAACGCGAGGAATACACGGACACGTATTTATGCTTAACAACCTTCTCCCTTCCTTTACCCCCATCTTTCTCCCTCATCCCCTCTCTCTATCTATCTCTCTGTTTCTTTCTATACTTCTCTCTTTCTCTCTCTCTCTCTCTTCTTTTACATCAGTCCTCTCCTCTCCTTGTCTCTTGGTATAATCCCATTCTGAGTTTAAGGTTAATTAATACAGCCTTGCATGGTTATTTAAATCTACTTGATCGCAAATCCCTAACCATGGACAGGAATTATTGATCATAAATTACTTTGCCTAAATCTATAATAAATTGATAAGAAAATTCTTTGTATATCTCTCTTCAAATTATTTTCTTTCTTTATTTATCTATTTCTTTCTATTTCCTATCTTTTTTCTGGTATTTTTTTATATCTCTATTTAATTTGAATATTTTTTAAAAATATGAAATATACCCGAGAAGAAGAAGAATAAGAATAAGAAGAAGAAAAAGAATAGGTATGACACCAGAATATCGTATAAAGAAAGATGATTGACGTATGCGAAAAGAATTTATGGTAGGTTTGACATCCACCCACACGCATGGGTAAAATATATGTCTTGAAGAACGATGACGATGATGATACCGACAAAAATATTCGCACGTTTTATTCATCTTTACTAGACACACTTCTTGTGTGCATCATCATCATCATCATCATCATTATCATACTAATCGTGATGATCTATTGCTATGCGAACTGATGATCACATTCGTCCTTTCATGCGTATTATCTCTTCCTTAGTTTTTTATTATAGCATTTTTTTGTGGTAACATTAATAATAATAATAATAATTGTGACAGATACCAGAAAGATGTGGTGGCTTTGTAACATTCTATCGCTTATCAAAGTGTTCCCATTTCTTTCTGTTTCCTTTTATTTTAATTTTAATTTTATTTTATTACTCGTTGTCGTACAGCAACTACGCGATTCGTCGCACGTTTCATGGATTTATTTCGTTTAAAAGCGGTCTCGCGATAACATCTCCCTTTACCTTGACATCATAATCGAATGCATAATTTCACGCATTTAAAATGTACCAGAATATATGTGTGTATTACGGTTTGTGAAACGTACCGCGAGATGATCTCGTTTTTGAGATTGCAATTTAAAGCGTAAATCCTTCCAATTTCTATAATTTTCTTATTTTCGAAATTAATTATATTAAGTTTAACCTTAATCGGGATTACACTCATACATTTTCTATTATACGATGATATTGATTTGAAAATACGTGTTTTTAACGATCGTGTATTTATTCGAGAAATGAAACATTTATTTTTATTTACCTAATACATAATAACTAACTCATCTTCGAAATTAAAACAAAAAGGTTAATGAAATTCTATACCAATGTAATAAACCTAATAATAATTCTATACTTGTCTATATAATAAATAATAAATTCAATATTTGTATTTGTTATTCTCAAGTTAAAGCATTTACAAAAATGATTCTACATTAAATTAATTGAAAAGTTCTTTACTTTCTACAAATAAATACTTTCTAAAAATAAAAAATAAAACTACAGTTCTGTTTGTTCCACTCCCTCAAATAGAATCGTAATTTCATATTGAACAAATAAATAATAATAGAAGAAAAACAAAATGAAAGAAAATTCCTCTCGTTGGGTAAGGGGTACCGGTCGCGATGGGTGGGTGGGTGTTCAAAGGCCGGTTCGATAAATTCTCAAACTAGGGAAGAGGAATGAAAGAGAAAAAGAAAGAGAGAGAGAGAGAAAGATAAAGAAAGAAAAAGAAAATGCGATGTCTCGGACGAGTCCGTAAAAGTTTATTGGTTCTGTCGTAGCAAGAGAGAAGCTCGGTACGACGAGAGGGAATAAATTTGGTATAAACGCATGTTAAACGATGATTGCTGGGTGCGCAAAACGGGTCAGCATGTCCGTATACAGATACAGAGTAAGTGTGAGAGGGGACGGAGGCGAGACATGTTCCCGCATACGGAAGAAGCACTTATATGTCTGGCTTTTGCTTCTCACTCTCTCATTCTCTCTGTCTGTCTCTCTCTCTCTCTCTGTCTGTTTCATTTTGTTTCTTTCTCCCCTTTTACTTGCTCGAGACGTCACGGTGGTTAGTGAGCTTTGAACAGTAATATATCCAAGAGTTGCTGATCTTAGTACCTTAATAATACATGCAGTTCCATTTAATGTACACGGCGTATTGTTTAAGATTTACGTCGATGCATAGCAGATGCGGGTGTGTGCAAACGGTAATTTCAATTTATTTCAACGAGTCCGAATGAAAGTACTTTAGCATTACTCTAGTTGGTTGGTTGGTTAGTTGGACCATCTAAACTTTCAAGGATCGTTCGTTGTTACTCGACAATATGTATATGTATGCATTATATAAATGTATATGATATGTATTATATACTTGGCCTATCTATTCAACGAGTTACAACTTAACGTTGCTAAAGTTAGTTATCGTAAAATTTAAATGAACATTATTTTCAAGAAAATATATCGCAGATGTAGCTTGTTGAGTAAAAAAATTCAATGACGTAGTTGGTTACCGATAAGATATGAATAATTCATCATCGTAGATGTATTTAATTAATGGAACACTTCTTTTCTATAGACCAAAAGGGTGTAATCAAGATTTAGTCGAGTGGGAAAAGAAGCTTTTTTTTATCGAGCTAGTTTTTACGTGTTTTGTTATACTCTTTCAAGGTAGTGATGATGATGATGATGATGATGGTGGGTGGTAGTAGTGTCCCTAGAAAGTTTATTTTTGGTCGGTTAGTAGTTCTCTATAGACTGTGTGTGTAAGAGAGAAAGAGAGAGAAATAAGTAAATGCATCATCGATAGAATCTTTCGGCACAGCTCTTAGAATTTCTAGACCGTGTTCGACTTTGGTTACCGTTTTACAGCTATGTTTAGATCCATGGTACAGCTGCCATCGATAAACTAGGTCGGATTAACACAGCTTCCGTAATACTTAAATACCGAACAGGACAAAATTCCTACTCATTATTCTCTGACAGAATGTGAGATGCACGGTAATCATTTTCTTTCTCACGTTTCAAAATCTTACGTGAGAAAGAATCGTTTTCGTATTATCGATCGAAAGATGTACGTTCCAATTTTCGTGGTAACAATTTTAGAAAAAACAACGAAATTGAGTCGGTAAAATAAAAGTTGATTTTATCACGAACAAAGAGTTAGTTTTTAAAACTAGGGAACCTAGGGAAATAATAGATAGACATAAAATATATAAATTTAAGTTTACTAAGAAACCGTGAAACTTTACGAGCCGTTGCAAATTTTCCTTGTTTCACGTTTCAAAAGTAGAATTAGTAGTAGTAGTAGTAGTAATAGTAGTGGTAGTAAATAGGTTTTATTTGTATTGTGTATTTACTTTACAGATGTGGCGAACGTCCTACTGTACATACCTACTGTTAGGTTTATTATACCTAACAACGTTGCAAAGTGCAACGGCGTGTACCTGCGCCAAAACGCATCCTCAAACACAGTTTTGCAGGGCAGACTTTGGTAATATAATCGTTTTGTCTTTTTAAATTAAAAAAAAGAAACATTTAAATATATACGAAATGAAGTAATAATATTATTTAAGCGAGTTATTATTGTATTGTCTGGTTTTTTATGCAGTTGCAGTCGTAAAGATAAAATTGGCCGTTCCGATTAACGACGATAGGTTGGAATATAAAGTGAAGATTAACAGAATTTTCAAGGTTTGTATACGAACCATTTGAATATAGCGTATATCGTACAGATTATGACCAAATTTTATTTTAAATTTTTTTATCATTAGAAATATAAATTTAGTATAATTGATCAGCGATTATTATACATAATGCGTTAATAAAAAAAAGCTAAACTTAAATTTCCTTAAATAATATATATATATATAACTAATAATAGATGTATAGAACTAATAATGAAGAATAATAGTAGAACAAATATATATATATATTATAAATTATATTATTATAATATATAATATTTTATATTTATATATAAATAATTTTTATAATATATATATAATATTATATAAATTATTATTTTTTATTATATATTTATATTATTTTAATAATAATATAATAAATTTAATAATAATAATAATAAAATTAAAAT